GGGGCCTCTGGGACCCACGGCTCCCTGCAATATCAGTATTATTTATCCGCTGAAAATCTAGCACTGTAACCGGGATTTACCTTGAAATGGTTAGCCGTACTAACCTGAGGTCCTGCCTTCCCCATAACCCCTTGTAAGCCTCTCTGCCCAGCTATTCCCTGTAGATGAAACAAAAACATAATGACTTTAATTTGACATTGAGAGGTTCCCCTCAGTTCCTGTAATCTTATATAGCAGCCAATATATATGCAAAAAAGGGCAGTGAGAGAAATGCAGCATCTCTTGTCTTGTTCCCAGTTCACAATTCAAATGTTATTTTACCCAAACTGTTGTATCATGGAAAACAGTCATTGATTTTACCCGATTGCCTTGATCTCCAGGATGGCCAGGTGCCCCAGGTGATCCAGTTTCCCCCTTATGAAACAAAGAGCAGGTCTGTTACATTAAGAAATGCATAAGAGTAATCCTGATCTATTACAAGGAAACTTGATGAAAGAAACCTGAGGAAGAAAAGGGAGCAATACCTTTGGGCCTGGTAAACCATTTGCTCCTGGTGGTCCCCGAAGGCCTATCAAACCCTGCATTAAAAGCCAACTTATAAACTTAACCAACCAACTGACTCCAAAAGCGTGTTTCTCGTCAAAAACTACAATCATGTAAGTTGATTTAGGTGCATCTTATATAAAAATCATACCTCTAGACCCATCAAACCCGATGGACCAGACTTTCCCATCAATCCATTCTGACCCTGGTGAAGAGACAATCATTATTCTACTACGTATTAACAGTGCACAATAGTTAGGTTGATCTGTCCAACAGAAATGGGTTTTGCTCAGTAGGATCACTAACTTGTGGTCCAATGTAGCCTTTATTCCCCTTCAGTCCTCTCTCTCCTCTGTCCCCCAAAAATCCAGATGGGCCTTGTCGTCCAGAGAATCCTCGATGTCCAGGGCCACCCTGTTTGAAGAAGAATACAGTTAATTCACTTTGTGTAGAAACTGTTCATAGTATAGACCTTTACAGCTCATCTAATGAAATATTACTTAGTATTGTGCAATTATTTTACCTTTTGTCCTTTAGGCCCAGGGTCACCAATATCACCTCGAGGTCCAATACCTCCCTATATATGAAACATCATACTTATTATAATTTATTGTAATGCACTTTAAAAGAACAAGGATGTTTAAGATATATGCACTACTGTTTGGAGTCTGTAAGATTTTACTTTTTTTTTTTAAAGAACTCTCTTATGTTCACCAGGGCAGGGATGTATTCATTTGATCAAAAAAATCTAATAAAAATGATAATATTGTGAAATATTATTACAATTGAAAAATTACTGTTTTCTATTTCAATCGATTTTAAAACATAATTTATTCTTCTGATGGTAAAGTTGAATTTTCAGCAGCCATTACTCCAGTCTTCAGTGTCAAACATTTCTTATTATTATCAGTGTTAAAAAAAATAAACAGTTGTGCTGCTTAATATTTTTGTGAAAACGGACATGTGTAATAATACAAAAATATTTTGTAACATTATACATGTCTTTTCTGTCACCTTTGAAGTCCTTGCTAAATAAAATCATTTGTTTCTTTAAAAAAACTCAATGACCACAAATTTAGCATAGTAAGGCTTAATAATGAGACTTGAAGCCTCATGTAATCACTGTCACTGACCTCTTTGCCACGTGGTCCTGGTGCGCCCTGCATTCCCTGAGAGCCCTGAGGACCCTGATCTCCCGGATAGCCATTTGGACCAGGCTTCCCACTGGGTCCAGGTGATCCCTAAAATCAAATACCCTAGTTAAATCATTTAAATTGGAAAAACACTGGAGTGTTAGCTGACCGATTTGGTGGTTTTGATGGATGCATTTAAATCAGTATCAACACTTACATGTTCTCCTTTTGGCCCTGTTGGCCCCTCAAAACCAACTGGACCAGGATGGCCCTACAGCAGAAAGAGTGAATAAACTGTATGTTAATTTTACTAAAACAAGACGGGGTAGCTAATGAATCACACTTTTAACAAAAATCTCTAGCACTTATGCTATGTTCCTTATCTCAAAATATACTCATGCCTTTGTTAAAAACATACTAAACCAGAGATCAAGTTGCTTAAATTTTTGGTAAGCTGCCCAAGAAAAGAAGAAGTTGATTCAGGTAACTCAAACAGGATGCCTCCTAATAGCAGTTCATTCTGAATAAATTGAAATGAACCAACCTGTGGTCCATCCAATCCAACAGATCCAGGGTCACCTGAAGGTCCTGGCAATCCCTAAAGAAGAGCATTATAAATCAAATGCTTAATCCTGTGTTATGTAACATGCTTTAGTAAATTGAAATGCTTACAATACCTGCCCTCCTTTCTCTCCTGCTTGACCAACCATTCCACTTGTTCCCGGTGAACCCTGAAGAATAGCAGAATATGATCAGAATCTCAGATTGTAAATTTCTCTTAAAATCCTTTGAAAACTATCCTAAAAATTAAATAATCAAAATGAGGGGTACCCACTCACTGGCAATCCAATTGGTCCTTGTTTTCCCTGTGGCCCCCGAGGCCCCTGGCCCCCGGGGGGGCCTGGTTTTCCAGCTGCTCCTTCAATCCCTGGCAGTCCCGAGGGCCCCTGAATTGACACACAGACACGTGTACAACATGTAATGAACAACAATTCCTCAAATGCGATGATCATTTGACATTCAACAGTGCTGACTGCATAAAAAGCACAATGTTCATCAGCATTAAGCAATCAGGTTCTTTCACAATTCATATAAAATATATAGAAATTATTATATGTGTATTTCAATACAAAATACACAAACAAATATTATGAAATATTGCAGTTTAAAATAACTTATTATACTTTAATTACTTTCGATGTATTCCATTTTTTTTTGCTTCTCAAAAATCTAAATGTATAATTCAAACTAAGGGCTACGTACAGGCAGTCCTCGCAAGCCAGCAGGTCCTGTTTCCCCTTGGCGACCCTAAAGAAATGTTGAAAACATTATTGATAACCTCTCTGAATATGAAAAACAGTGCTATTGAATTATTTAGCTCTATGAATGGAGAAGTTACTTCACCTGTGGTCCACGTGGGCCCCTCTCACCAGCCGGGCCTGGTAAACCCTTAAAATGTTAACAAAGTAACAATTGTTTTAGAGAAGAAATGGCCAAAATGTCATAACATTAATGATAATTAAAGGATGACATTCAAATCAACTTACAGGTGGACCTCTTTGCCCTGGTGGACCCAGAGGACCCCTGATGCCGGGTTCACCCTGCAGATGCACATTCACACAATATATGTGACACGACATCCAGAATGATCAGAGAAAAATTCATAGTAAAATATTTACAGCAGAAAGCTCTAACCCTCTCTCCAATGTGACCTGGCTGTCCACGAAGGCCTGTGGCTCCTGGATAACCCTGAGAGCAAGAAGACAGCATATAGAATCAAATCGCTGCTACAAGCCGATCATGAATTTTCATGTCAGTCCGAACTGGTTTATGCAGGATAGTGCCACTTACATACATGCCTACAGGCCCTTGAGCACCTGCAATGCCTGGTTTTCCAGTGAAGCCCTGATAACAAACACACACAGTGGTGATATATGTGAATACTATGCATTAATTACATTATTACAGCAATAAAATACTTTGAGAGGCTTACCTTCTCACCAGGAGGACCTTGAGTGCCATCTTGGCCTGGTCGTCCAGGTGGGCCCTAATGAGTGGAGAAACCATGAACTGGTTGCATTTTCAGTAGATGTTAATCAACAAGAATGAAAATGCTTTTGATTTTGAATTTAAATCACAATTCTGTGATGGTTTACTTTTCAAAGTTTGACTACTGTGTAAAATTTTAATTTTTCCACAGTCCTTGTTTGTCCTGTTGTTATGCTCACCTGTGAGCCTGGAGGGCCTTGTTTTCCTGGTTCTCCAATCATGCCCTTCAGGCCCTTTAGATGACAAATATTACAGAAGATATATGATATATGACATGACAAATGAGTGAAAGACTAAAAAAGTCCACAGTGAATATGGTTTGATGTAAAAGGAATACAATTATGTAGGATTCTTAACTATTTCTAGGCTACTAATCTAATTTGTGACATTGACCCTGTTAACTCCTTTTAGAATAAAATGTTCTTTCTTCCACTGAAGCACATGATGTTCTTTAGATCATTCTTAAATGATACTGGATCACATCATCATCAGGTTTTACACACACTTGCTCATGCAACGCATGTGCTGCTGTCAATAAAGCAAAAATTAGACAAAATAAATACTAAGACATTCTGAAATTCATTCTGATTATTCAATTAAACATCTTACTAAAATTACGCTGACAATTGAATTTGTAAAGGTACCCAAAAATATAAAACAGACACAACACACAAGATATAGATATATGATTCAGTCTACCAGTTTAACACTCAAAACACATTTCAGGCTCTTGCTGTCATGCTGAAACAGATCATTCCTCCATGACAGAAGGACCAACCCAACAGGATGTTTAAGACCTTGTTAAGTTTAATAGTCTCTGATCTTTCTGACCTCGACATGCCTGTATCAAGTGTTTCTCCTTCTTCTGAGGTCTAATGTTGGTAATAGCTCTTTTAAATAATTGTCTGCTATCATTACTGACCAGTCTTTACAACAAGCTTTTATAATAGCAGCAGTCTGCTCTCAACTGACTAATATATCTCATAGAATATTTTGGTTGATGAGAAACATACATTAGGTCCTTTATCCCCTGGGCTTCCAACAGAACCAGAAACACCCTGCAAGACAGATACATAAAATCAACACAATTTCGATTTCTTTCTTTGGTGTAATGTTAAAGCAAAGATTAATATATGATAAATCACTATGACTGATTAAAAAAAAAAACTTGATATTAAATGTATGAAATGGGAACCTGTGTACCAGGCTTTCCTTCTGGCCCCTCGGCACCAACTGGACCTCGTAAACCCTGCAAAAACAGCAAAGTAAATATGATCAATTCAATAAAACGTGAACCAAATAAATCTGGACTCAGTTTACTCAAATTCAATTTCCCTACCACTATTCCAGGTACACCAGGGGGACCATGTTGGCCTGCTCGACCCTGAGCATACGGAAACAATGTGAGTGAATGTGATCAAATGATACAGGACCACTTACATTTTGTTTACTCATAACACACAATGTTAAATATCTAGCTTATTCATGAAACAAAACATTTGAATAAACCTGAGACAGAATTTAAAACTGGACATTTAATTAATAAATATTTCTCAAATTAATGGGATTCATGTGAATTTTTCCATTATTGACTTTTTCCTTAAATTGTTATTATGGTAATATAATTTTTAAATGATATATGGATTTTAGATGTATTTGCAGGTAGATGCATTTTCACTGGTGGTCTCAGGATTTTCAGATTTTTATATGAAACAAATAGCTAATTTACTCTGGATCCTCTGAGTCCTGTTCTTCCATTATCACCAGGTTCACCCCTGCTGCCCTTTGTTTCCCAAAAAAAAAAAAAAAAAAAAAAAAAAAAAAAAAAAAGGAAGATATGTTATTGATTTAGGTGCATATATTTGTAGGACACAGTGAAAGAGCCTTTGGGCAGCATTGTTTTTTAGAGGAGCAATCACAGGTGGATTGATGTAAAATGGTGAGCTACAAGAATGCTTTTGGTGTGATCGTTCCACCTGAAAGTCATAAAGCACTCTGACCTTTTGACCCTCTTTTCCAAGTGTTCCCTGAGGACCTACTTCACCATTTATACCCTGTGGGGAAAAAGGGTGAGAGAAAAACAAATGTATTTTGCCAAGAAATCTTATTTTGAACCTCAGTTGTTAAAGATTATGCCATATATACATATAAAGAATATAAAGTAAGGCATGTCATAGGGAATCTTCTGTGCAACTGTATACCTGGACACCTGGAGCACCTGGCTGACCTTTGACACCAGGTAAACCGGGGAGGCCTGACTGGCCCCTTTCACCCTGTGGACCCATGATCCCTGATGCTCCTTTTGTTCCCTAAAAACATACAGTATAATCATAAATAGGCAATTTCCTGAATCCTCCAATTATGCATTTCAAAGCTTTAGAATTTTTGAATGTATCGTGTTGAATGTATTGTGTGCTGGTGATTACTTTTTTCCCCTTGGGTCCTCTGTCACCCTTCTCTCCATCTGGTCCCCTACTGCCCTGAATTTAGAGGAATTAATTATTGAGGTAATACATGTTAAAGGACATACATTTACAAATATTAACTAAAATGTCAAATAAATATACGGTGAGATCTGAATCAGATATCTTACTGTGACACCTGGAAAACCTTTTGGACCTGGATCTCCAGTTGTACCCTAAATGAATGAATGGTAATTATTGACTCCTAACTGAATTCATGCATGCATATGTATATATATATATATAAATAGATTTACTACTGTACAAATCCAAAAATAGATAAACTAGGCATGTTTCCAGCCTGTCAGTACACAGCAGCAACTTGAAATATTGCTGGGTAAAATTTAATGGAACTTTAAGGCCATATTGGTTGTTGAAAGTCTGCTATGTAAGTTTATAATGAATTGTATAAATGTTTCCCTTTAGATTACATTTAATATATTGACAAACAGACTCACCATGGGCCCTTCAATGCCTTGTAGCCCTCTGTTACCTGCTGGACCCTCTGGCCCCTGTCCACAAACAAAAACATCTAGGGCTTCCATTTTATAAACACATAACACATGTAATTGTACATATTCTACATGTACACAGAAAAAGTTTTAAAACTTACCAGGTCACCTTTGAGACCCTGTGGACCAGTCTGACCTTGAAGACCCTGTGGAAAAAAACAATCATGACAATGCTTACTCTTGATTGAATATCACAACAGACCCATATTTGTATGTTTTTCTACTTCACTGGGAGTAGGAGTATGTGCATTGCTAGCCTACATGATAAACTTTACCTGTGATCCTGGATCACCAGGTGGGCCTCTGTCTCCCTCGATCCCTCTTGGCCCCTAGGAGGAACAATCAGGACAGGTTTGATATTATTTCAGCTTATGAGCAATCTCTAAGAACAGACTTCATGAAGCAATGACACAAAACAATGTTGCATACCTGAGGGCCTTTCCGCCCCACAGCGCCAGCAGGTCCAGCGTCGCCCTATAACCGCAAAAGTGTTTTGGTTTATAACCAAGTCAAGTCTTTCTTTGATAATTTACTCATCCTCTTGTCATTTCCTAACCCACATAATATTTCAAAGAATATTGGTAATGAAAACAACATTGGCTCTCATTGCCTTCCATTGTATGGGCAAGAAATACAGTGGAAATCAATGGGAACCTAAATGGTTTGGCTACAGTGTTCAAAACATCTTCTTTTATGTTCCACAGTAGAGAGTCAATGGGTTTGGAACAACAGGAGGGTGTACAAATGATAACAATATTTATTTTTGGGTAGAGTGAGTGAAGTGACATGTGGGTAAAGTGACATGTGGCCAAGTGGTATGGTGACCCATACTTGGAATTAGTGCTCTGCATTTAACCCATCCAAAGTGCACACACACACACCGTGAACACACACCCGGAGCAGTGTAGACTATCCCTTTAAGCAATGAAATTGACACTTGCTTACTGAATTTGTAGTAAGCAATCACTTACTTCAGAGCCATTAACACCTTGTGCACCAACCAATCCTGTAGCACCTGGTGCTCCCTGGCAAGACCCAAACACATAACTGAGCATTATTAAGCAGTATCCATAAACACCAGGATAAGGGTGATTTCTCTGTTAATAAGAAGTAATCACTGTCCCCAATTCAGTTTTCCCAAATGGATTTTCTTTTTGGCTATAACGAATATCTACTTTATAGTTCGATATAGTTAGTTATACTTAGAAGAAACACAGTTTGAAGAACTTTATTTTTTCACAAGTGTCACGAGCATGATTTATGACTCACCACTGTCCCTGGAGGACCACGTTTTCCATCATTGCCCGGATCCCCCTATGAAAACAACATTCTTTATACGGTCAAGATCAATGTAAAAATACACAAAAATAAATAGTCAATTAAATCAATCACCTTAGGACCAGATGGTCCAGGAATCCCTTGAACACCTTGTAAACCAACCGGTCCCTTAAAAGAAAAGAAAAGAAAACCATTCATGCATAATATTTACTACAATATAAGAAAGGATACTAACACCAGTTATTATTAATAATGTTTAAAACTAGCAGTTCAAGAATATGAAGTGATTTACTCACTGGAGGACCAGAAAAGCCAGTAAACCCAATTTCTCCTTTTGAGCCCTATTAAAAAAAATTACAGAGGCATAACCAATAATTACACTACAACAATAGAAAATAATGCTTTTTATGGTAGTGTCCCCTCCTGATTCACTAGGGGGCAGTACAGGTGTTGAATTTATATATATAAACAGTACACACAAATTAAATGCATCATAAATACTTCAGTTGAAGGCTTTCTTTACCTTCAGGCCAGTCTGTCCTTTGTCTCCTCTGAGGCCAGGATCGCCAGGAAAACCCTGCTCATGGAGGCAGAAAACTGCTTTATACTATATTAAGTATATTATAATCCTGTATGAGGCAATTACAGGGTCGTGCATTTCAGAATATTATGTATCCTCATACTGTACCTCATCTCCTTTCTCACCAGGGGGCGCTGTGTCACCTTTGAAACCACGAGGACCCTTGAGCCACAACCAGACATATACAACATATTGTCTTCTGCCGTTTAAGTTCATAAATTCCACAGCTACAATTCATAGCTTTACCACAATCTATCCGAAAGCCATATTCACACTAGTGTCCCAACTTGAACTTTTACAACTACTACAAAAGCTACTACAGACATCTCATGCCCTTAGTCTTACCTGTAGGCCAGGAACCCCTGGAGATCCTGTCACCCCATCTGGACCTTTCTCTCCGTCTCTTCCTTGAGTCCCTGCTCTGCCTCGAACACCCCTTGGTCCAATGCCACCCTATTATAAAGTGTTTGCTTGTACCTAATTCCTGTAGTCACTTTGCATAATTCTGCACCAGTTTTTAAAGGTTTGGGGACAGTAAGATTTTTTTTTGAAAGAAATTCAAACTTATTCATCAAAGATGCATTAAACCGATCAAAAGTAAATACTTTTACATTGTTACAATGCTGTGCTTTTGAACTCTCTATTCATCAAATAATTTTGTAAAAGAAAAAGGAAAAGTATCGTGGTTTCCACAAAAATATTAAGCAGCACAATTGTTATGAAAATTGATAATAAGAAATACTGCTTGAGCACACATAGAATGAAGGATCGTGTGACACTGAAGACTGGAGTAATGGATGCTGAAAATTCAGCTTTGCCATCACAGGAATCAATTACATTTTAACATGTTAAATAGAAAACAGTTACTTTAAATAAGAATAGTACTGAATTTGCTGCATTTGTCATCAAATAAATGCAGCTTTGTTTAGTATAAGAGACTTATTTAAAAAAATATTTTAAAAATCGTATTGACCCCAAACCTTTGAACAGTAGTGTACCTCATAGTAACATTTAACTGTTGCTGAAGATACCATTGAACTCTCATTGCTATTATGAACACACACCCACATACATACCCAGACACACACAAAAACAGAGATATTGTAATGAATAGGTACCATTTCGCCTCTTAGGCCTGGTGGTCCTGCCTGACCTGGGTCTCCAGGCAACCCCTTCAGGAATAAAACAATTAAGCACAGTACTGTATATACCAAATCAAAGACACTCTAATCTGTCTGTAACCATTTCATCATTCATCATACTACAGTAAACCGCACTAGTCAAAGATCTACAATGACCCCCAATATAGTTGGAGGTCATTGTAAAATTCTTTCATACCCTGCAACACAGGTTCTCTAACAATTCAGTCTTCATTAAAAGTGTTCTGTGTGTTTGAGAGTGTACTCACAGGTAAACCAGGTCTCCCCGTCTCACCCATTGGTCCAGGGTGTCCTGTCTGTCTCTGCAGGACATTAGAGGGAAAGGGTTTAGTGAGAGACCACATGCATGTACTATATTGACGTTTTGCTAATTTATTCGAATTTCAAATACTCACTGGCCATCCAGCTGCCAGCAACTGGTAAAAAGATGTTCTCTACAAAAAGAAAAGAAAAGAAAAACATACAAAATATGAAATATTGCCTTACCAACTAACTGAAAAAAGTGTTGAGATGTATTACAAAAATCACTAAAATGAAAACTAAAATAAATTAAAACTAAAATAGAAATAAAAATGACAAAAGCATATAACAAAGTTACTAAAACTAAAATTAAAATGAACAATGAAAATATTAAAAAAATACCAATACCAAAAATTGCTTATAATTTATTTAAAAACATTTTTTTATGTATTTATTTATTTTATTGTTCTGTGACTGTTTAGGCTGTCTCAATTGACTAATTTACTCCCACATGTGGCATTCACTATGTAACGAATATTAAATGACCAAACAAACAAGTGGTTTCAGACCCAGCATATGCATGAATGCATAAATACAATTCAGACCGCATACGAGAGATGATGGGAAGCTCTGTACCTGACTGGTGTTAATAGGGGAAAAAAACGCCTCAACATCAAATCCTCAATCTAAACTCTTGTAACACTTAATGCCTGTATGTTTTAATTCCTCTCTATAAGAAACACAAACAAAAAGAGTGCTGAAAGGCATGTCTCCTGTTCAAATAGAGGAGAAGAACTGAGAGACAGTGTACGCTGTTTCTGCAGTGTGGCCTGGAAAAGCGGAGGCCTCGAACCCACATAGACACACAGTCTCTGTCACACTGATATTAAATCACCCAGTCTGCCTCCGCTTTATACAACATTTGTCTTGGCAAATGCTCAATTTGGCAACAGGGCAGAATTCGGCTCACTGCTGGTCCAGTGAAGGTGAGTTTGAGAGAAGTTCGGGAATCGGACCTCCCAGTGCACCTCCCAGTGCCTGCCACATGTCTCACTGAAACAGAGGGATCTAAACATCTGTCAAACCCTCCTCACAACACTGCAACCATTCTACAGAGTGCAACCTGGGTAAACAGCAAAGCACCATCAGCACAAACAATGTCTGTAAGTGTTCAGTTTATAATATTTCAATGACAAATCATCCCTAATCACCACTGAATACAGAGAATCAGTCCCATTCAGCCACATCCATCTAAACACGACATATGCTATGGGGCAAATTATATAAATCAGAGATGAAACAGAAAGAAAGGCTTTTTCCTAAACCTTTTTTATCATTGATCATAGTGAAAAAATCTGAGAAAAAAGGTAAAAAAATATTTAAACGTCATTTATTTCATAAAAATGACATGCAGTGAAGATTTACATAGAAAATTGTGATAATCATTTTTGCCAAAAATATGTACAATTGACTTCATTTTCCTAAACAATAGCCAAATTATACATTACACCATATGAAATCTGACCTTCCATATTGAAGCACTTAAATAATTTCCACAATGAACTGGGCTAAAATAAAATTCACATACAGTAATGACTTTTTCATACAAATAATCAAATCAAATCTAATCAAATTATCCCTCAAGTGAAAGTACTTCAAATTGTGAAACCTGAAAAAAATATTAAAACCCAATACAAATCACAAAAACAGTCTTTGAACGTACATAAAGTCTCACTCTTTAAGAAAGGTACAACTCCCTCACCTACCACCCATGGCTCAATATACACACTCACGACTCCTCTTTGGAGGACTAAACTCATCCATCATGTTTGAGGATTCTGCCAAATGATGATGAAAAAACAACATTTAGATATTCTCCACACACACACACACACACACACACACAACATTAAATAATGCCAAGTTGCAGCTGCACAATCATAATAAGCAGATATTCACAACCGTTTTGAGTTCTGAGAATCTACAAGGAGGTCAAACCTGAGGTTTTACAATTATACTTAAATATATGCTCAAAAATAGAGAGTCACAAATAGAGAGAATACAAGGTCTGGCAGGAACCATCCAGCAGTTTGAGAGACACAGGGCGGTGGCTCACTGCTATATATTCATGTTTGGTAGGGATGGGCAGGATGATCGACTAATTTATCTAGATAGAGAGTGAGCAGGCGGCTCCTTGTGCTTTCATATCGCTCTCACGGTACTTTGATGTCATACAACGATCGGTCTGCGCAGCGCCGCTTCATGTCAAAGGAAACGAATGAACACTCCTAATATGTGCGCGTATTTGCATCGCTTTGACTACTCTCAGTAGAACCCACCTTTGACAATTGACCAATCGTTGATTATGTACAATGCCTGCACGCTATTGGTCAAACTACTTTTCGATCATTACCTCCAGCAAGTATGAAATCAAGAAAACAAAGCAAAACCGGGATATTTTAGGCAATATACAAATCCTGGCCAGGTCATGTCCCGTAAAAATGGCACGTACGGCCAACCTAGGGAAGCCTAAGCTATAAGAGATTTACCAGCTAGATAGACAATTCTCCAGAATATGGCGTATTAAGGCCTACCTTAAATGCAGCCCAATCCTCCTCTGTGTTCCTCCAAAGGTAGAGGACTGGGAGTCCTGGTGGACCTGGAGGTCCTGGTATGCCTCTTGTCCCATCTGCTCCTTGGTCTCCTTGAGAACCCTGGAACGACATACAGGTACAAATCAGTGTGATCCCATAATCACCGAATATTATAATGTAATGTAAATTCCTTACCTTATCACCCTTGTATCCAATATAGCCCCTTTTGCCAGCGCACCCCTGTGCAAACAACAAAAGCAATCTTAAACCGAGGGCCCTGCATATGAAGAATATTTATGGGACTTTGCTGTGGTTAAATGCTTTTTATAAATGCCAAAGTGCAAAGCTACTGTCATCAACCATCAAACTTAGTTTATAGAGGATTGGTTTCCATGTTCAAATTTAAGCATGGAAATCAAGATACAGTAGAAGACTTTGAATCTCGAGTCAATTAATATTTATAGGTCCACGCCCTTTTTAATCTTATGTATGTTACGTAATGTGACACTCTTAGACATGCCAATTTGTAGAGTGCTGCCAAACCTCTAACCTTCTGCAAAGTGCACATTTAGCACTACAGCCTTATATTTGGGTCTCATAGTGAAAGGCTATCATTCAGAAAAGGGCAGATGTAGTAATGTTTGGTTATAGATGTGAAACATATTCAAAGGAATGCTCGTCTAAACTCCATTAAAAGATGTAAAGATTACATGACATTCAGCTTTCGGCAATTATGTATTTCAAATGACCAAATTAAGTTTGAATACATAGTGAGATTTAATGTGCAATTTAGCAATTTAATGTGACTTCAATTCAGTATTTTGTTTCTTGCTCAAACAACAAACACTGTATGTTTTGCAAACTGAAAACTGGGCACGTTTTCAGTTCCAACAGACAGGAGGAGGGGGGAAACACAGCTACTGTAAATCACAAAAGACATGACATTTTTAATTTGCACTAACATCATAGTAGCTACTTGTTTTAGTTTCAATTTTTTTCTTAAGACTGAAAAGCTGAAGTTTTCCATCCTGGAATACTTGATTCTGATTTGTCAAATCACAGCATTCAGTGGCTAGATAATTCCTACAAAATATTTCATTGGTGAAGGGTGAAACCGTTCCCCACACATATTTTGTATATGGTTCAAGTTTTTCATGCAAATTTGCCATGTTGACCAACGGAATGAACCTTGGTTTGAAAGTGACTTCTATGTGAGCGAAGCTTTGTGCATCACTAAACTATTGAGAGTGGGCCATTTTTTGCTAATGAAATTTCACTAATGTGACTGTGCCTTCAGTCTGCTTCCAACTGAAAATGATGCTACTTTCACATATATCGTTTCATACAAATGCAACTGTGTCCCAGTCATCACAGGTAGTGCAAATGGCTTCAGTACTGATTTTAGGTTACTGGAATTTTGTTGTAATGTTCATCTTATTGCTTGGCCAATAGTTTTGTACATTCAAACGGACTATTTTTGAAAGAATATACAAGTAAAATTATAAAACTTTTACATTAACTCCTTTAATTCATTCAAATGTACTTATTTCTATACATTATCCCTCTGAAAAGAGATTCTCCACTATAATTAACTTAAGTTTGTTTTCTATGGCATGTATTGAAATGATACTATGCATATAAACTTCTATTTTTTTTCAAGTTTTTGGATTCAGATTCAAATTTGGCACATATTATTGGAAGAAAATCATGGAAGAGCACATGATTTCATAAGGATTTAATTGTGGTAACTCACTGTTCTCCCTGGTGGTCCAACAGGCCCTGGAGGTCCACTGAGGAGCCGGTATCTCCTTCCATCCATGCCTAACATAACATCACCATGTTTAAATGCAACTTTTTTCTTGCTTGAGTGCTTGTAGTCAGCTTGTCCTTTTCCTACAAGCGATTCATTTCCTTTTTTTGAGTGAACAATGACCAAATGCTTTTTATCTACTTTATTTGCCATGTTGACCAACGGAATGAACCTTGGTTTGAAAGTGACTTCTATGTGAGCGAAGCTTTGTGCATCACTAAACTATTGAGAGTGGGCCATTTTTTGCTAATGAAATTTCACTAATGTGACTGTGCCTTCAGTCTGCTTCCAACTGAAAATGATGCTACTTTCACATATATCGTTTCATACAAATGCAACTGTGTCCCAGTCATCACAGGTAGTGCAAATGGCTTCAGTACTGATTTTAGGTTACTGGAATTTTGTTGTAATGTTCATCTTATTGCTTGGCCAATAGTTTTGTACATTCAAACGGACTATTTTTGAAAGAATATACAAGTAAAATGATAAAACTTTTACATTAACTCCTTTAATTCATTCAAATGTACTTATTTCTATACATTATCCCTCTGAAAAGAGATTCACCACTATAATTAACTTAAGTTTGTTTTCTATGGCATGTATTGAAATGATACTATGCATATAAACTTCTATTTTTTTTCAAGTTTTTGGATTCAGATTCAAATTTGGCACATATTATTGGAAGAAAATCATGGAAGAGCACATGATTTCATAAGGATTTAATTGTGGTAACTCACTGTTCTCCCTGGTGGTCCAACAGGCCCTGGAGGTCCACTGAGGAGCCGGTATCTCCTTCCATCCATGCCTAACATAACATCACCATGTTTAAATGCAACTTTTTTCTTGCTTGAGTGCTTGTAGTCAGCTTGTCCTTTGCCTACAAGCGATTCATATCCTTTTTTTGAGTGAACACTGACCAAATGCTTTTTATCTACTTTGAAGCCCTTTGAAGGAAGTAAGAAACCTTCTTCAATCAGCTGGTTTAACTCAGGATAGACTGTAGGCCTGACCAGATCCTTCTGACCAGCTGATGTCTTCACATTCAAAATAGAATCCAGGTCAGCAATGTCCCCAGAGGGCTTCAAAGGGAGCCGCTCAAGACGGCCTCCACCCAAATCTGCTTTCAGTTTTTGAGAGGTGAAGTTCTCCTCTGATGATTTGAAGGTGGTGGACTGGATCTTTTTTTCACCGGTGTCCTTATACCTGCTATGTGTGCTGACAGCGGGAGACGTGAGAAGGTCAGACTCGTCCACCACTACAAAGCCACGAACCGAATGCTTTGAAGTTCTGTTCGAATCAGATGACATGTCCCATTCACTACGAAGATCTTCATTCTTAGAAGAGACACTGGAGTTCTGGAAGAGAACAAAAATAAGAGATAGAACAAACAAGATACATTAACAAAATGCTAAGGGGATAATCCATTAAATATTTCAGAGCAAAAACATGCCGTACTCATTAATCATTTGCAATCCAGTTTAACCGGGTATAATGTTGCACTCAGGGTATTTAAATCATTTTATTGTTATCCATTTCAGCACAAACTGTTTGCACCCTATTCCCTAAAGTCGGTGCTGCTTAACTGGTACATATTGTGTACAATTTTATTGATCATGGCAGCAGTTATTCATCTAATTATGGAGAAAAGCATCCAAAACATCCAGACAGGATGGAGTAGAGCACCCTTTTTGCATTTTCATTTTAAACCAAAAACAAGTGGCAGATGATCACCAAATCAGGTACCATAAAAATGAAGTGCATATTGCACAAAGCCGAAAAAAACGATCAATTGCGATAAGGCAATGGCCTACACGTGATTCTGAGCTCAGAGACCCAGAGGCTCCATCCTACTGTCCTCCTCTCTTTCTCTAACAATAAGCTACAGAGAAAGAGCAGTCAGGCACTTAACACTGTAAGGCGGCTGCCTCAGATGAGAGGGACACTTGATCCTCTCAAGGGTGACACAGCTCCCCAAATAATTGTTTTACCCTCCTCAGTGCTACAGGTTACATCTTTGGCTGGAACTGTACCGAACACTGGAACAACTCCTGTGAGAGAAGCTGGAGCAGAACCAGATGCTACAAGACACAATTACACTTTGTTCAGAAGATCAGCCAGTGGGATGTTTGAGAGGAAGTGAGTAGATGCTCTGCATATTCCATGTTAAAGGTTTCAGTTGCTATAGTTTCTACAATAAACACCAAAAATGCTACTCCATTTTACTCGTACTCTATTGTTCAAAAGTTTGGGTTCAGAAATGAATTCGGGTTTCAAATATTAATAGAAAATCTATCCTAATTTAAAGACAACAAGTTGATCAAAAGACTGAATCCAATATTTGGTGATAATAAAGCGTAACAAGAGATTTATAAGCTATTTTTATAGGCCAGTCATTTTTGTGACTTTGTGCCATTTCGTACCAGATAAAACCATTTTAAAACAAACTTCCTGGTTAAACATTTTTTCAAATTTTATTTAAAATTGACAAAATTATCCACAAATTAGTGCATAAGCTCGGATCAAAGAGGCCGAAGATCAATCAGTTTCTTAAAGAAATAGAAAAATCTACCCTAATTGAAAGAAAACATTGAATTGACTAAAAGATTGAATCCAATATTTGGTGATATAGTTTAAAAATTGATAAGATATTTTTGTAGGCCGGTCATTTTTGACCAGGAACACCACAAGTGTAACAAGGTGGGGGGAAAGTACAAAAACAATCCCAAACATTTTGGGAAGTAGTTATACCCTGTGTGAACAGGTAGCAGGTTTTTGTCCAGTGCGATAACATTAACTACCATTTTCAGGAAAAAGCTTCTTCTGATCAAAATGACCCGAACACAGCATAAGGGTTAAGCAAAACATTTTACAAAAATAAGTTTGCAAGGCTATAGAGACAATGTTTAAAATTAAGTTAAAAAGTTTTTTTTTTCCTGGTCGTCAAACTGCAATAAAATACACCTTTAAGCAGGTGTGAACAACAACATCTGTGTGAACCCCAGGGAAACTACTGTAACTTCATACATCTACTGAAATTACCCAGGGACAAGTTGTTGAACAGTCACAAAAATTACTTTGAAAAGTGAAGCTAGTTCTGGAAAAAGCTTCAGTATCGTTTGCAGATGTCACTTGTTTTTTTAAATTCGTCATGCAATTCATTTAAAACATTTACATGTATGAATTATGAGTCCAAAAGTGTCCAGACACGTGCTGAGTTCATTGGCCATCTGCATTACACTGTCATTTGTGGTTTACCATAATTTATTTATATTCTATTTAACAATGACACTTCTGGTTAGATGCAGTTTCATTGGCTTTGTACTGCACTTGACAATATCAATAAATCTGAATCAAATTGAAAGTCTATAATGCTAAAGATCCAAAACTGAAAGCGACCGAGACATCAATATCAGATAAAGCATCTGCCAGTGAGAAGGTCGTAAATACTAACTCAGTTTGGAGGTTTACAGATATAAACAAATGTTTCACAGAGACTGGAAAATGATGAAGCACAATGTCAGAGTTTGGAACGCAAGGCCCTGGGCAGAATATTATCAGTGTTCATCACAGCTGACCCAACAGTGAATAATGAAAGAGAGACGCCATAAATCATGGTTAAGACACAGGTATGAGGGAAATCCTTGCAGGTCATTTGTTGAGGAACCCAGCAGGGCAAATCTGACACTCCCATTAAGAAAGTCACCTGGAACATTTTTGTGGATCATCAGAAAGGAAATCAGGGTGCAATTGGCAAAGAAGAAGAACACTAGATAGTATTCAGTTTACTTGGCTACTAATGACCTCAGCATCTCAGGTCAATCTGATTATCTAGACCAAAACACTCACTTAACATGTTAAGATCTCCATAACCTCCATTCAAACTGCAGTTTCCAACCCATTTACCCTTTTAGTTTATCCCTGTTCAGTAAGTGAACATGTTCATGGGAAAGTCTCCATTACTTACTAATCTCTAAACTCACCTTTCTGAAAGTTTAGACATGTCAGCTTATACAAGAGCGGTCTAAACTCAATACAGTGTGATAATATACATTTGCACTTTTTGCCTTTAGAATACATAAGCAGATAATTCAATAAAACCAGATCATAAAACAACTTTTAATATATATGTTTTACAGAATTCTTGCGCAAACATCCAAACAAAATCTGACCATCTAATAACGAATAATGAATTGAAGCACAGTTAAAAGGAAAGACATGTATTTGTTTCCTACCATGGCTTTCCATTTGCCCTCCACATTCATTCCAAGCAGGAGCAGATCTAGTACAAGGTAACATCCCATACAGACACAGCACACCATGATTGCTGGAGATACACACTGCACCACAGTCTCTGTATCCCTGCTAAAGATCCCAGACAGTGCAAGCTTTCTCCAAGTGCCCTCCCAGAGAGAGAGAACCTCCCAGACACAGGAGCTGTGCCCAGGCTTCACACACTCAAGCCAACTAAGCCTTCAGGCAGCCATTAAGGTGAACATCACCCAAATAAAATGTGCAACATCCACTTGTCCTATTTGTGTCCCATTTGAATTATGTCTGCGGAACAAAATGGGATATTAGGTCATCTTGAGGGTGACCGAGGATATACACCACTGTTCAAAAGTCATGGGTCAGTAAGACTTTTTATATTTATTTAACTTATTCATTATGAAACAAATCCATTATTTTCACCAATGCTGCATTTATTTGATCAAAAATAAAAAAAATATATTAATAATGTGAAATATGATTACAATTTATTTAAAAAACTGTTTATGGTTTTAATATATTTTAATATTTAATTTATTCCTGTGATGGCAAATAGGCATGCTCAAGTCTTCTGTCACATGAAACATTACAAATGTCTGAATCCTTGCTAAATAAAAGTATTATTATTTTTTTAAAATTCCTTCTGACCCAAACTTTTGAGCCTTTGTAATCTTGGCTTCAATTTAGAAAATGGGATGAAACCAATGTCTTTTAAGTTGGGAGAGCTTAAAGCTGCTGAAAGTGTTTTATCCAAGAATAAAAATTCTGTCATCATTTACTCACCACCACGTCTTTCCTTAAGACTTGCTCTCTTCCGTGGAACACAAAAGGAAATGTTTAGCAGAATGTTCATGTTGCTGTTTTCCATACAACAAAAGTAAATCGTGAGCAAAGGTACAAAAATGTCAAAAAACGCACCATAAAAGTGCTCCATATAACCCATGCACTATATTCCAATATTCCTTCTGTGACTAACAGAAAGCTAAAACACACTCCACTGCAGTTCTCAAATCTCATTTGGCCAATTCTGAATACGAAAATTGGTTATGAGACACATGAACCAATGACGTTTGGCATTACTGAAGTCAAACCTTTGACATGCTATATTATCCATGACAATGTGAACATGAATGGCATTTGAAAGCTACAGTGGTGAAGATTGCCAATGGCTAAATTTCTGTTTTTCCACAAACATAGAGACTGGTTTCAAAAGACTTGGAATATGAGTCATATGGGCTGCTTTCATGAGCTTAATAGCTTGATAGATAAGAGAGACAAAGAGGACACATGCTTGGAAACTTCATATCAGACAATGTCAGTTTTACAACCAAATTAGAAGCTACTTTAGATTTTACATAAACATAAAGGTTTTCTCCTTCACTGCGGAACCGTGACAAATAGAAAACACATTCAGACAACTAAAGCCTGCCGAGACTGACACACACGCACACAAAAGCAGCAGAGAAGAGACAGATTTATGAAAGCACTGGTGAACCATCAATTAGAAATGACAATTTGTTCCAGAAATAAACTTGATGAGGTTGGTTTAATTCAAAGCAAGTTTTTAAGCAGACATCCAGCTCAAAGAATCAAAGCAGTGGGATGCTGCGTGACCATGAGGTCATTAAAACAGAGAGGATTAGTGGTAATGGCTGCCATAGTAACAGAGGTAACTCAAGGAGATCAATCACAGATGAAGACTCTCTTGCCTGACTTTCCTGTGGGACCCTGACTCTGAGGTTTTCACAATTTCACTGGCGGTGGGTGTTGGAAACCATGATTCCACATAGCCTAATTAATCAAACAGCAGAAACCACAAGGAATAATGGGAGATGGTCTTTTCATCTGACATATTCAGTGTGCACGTATCTACCATGGGGTTCATAAGTTGGAGACCAAAGTGAAAAATCATTTTAGCATTTATTTCTCATCAATTCTTTTATTACAAATTGCATTATTTAAAACTGTACATTATTTGATTGAAAGTTCCACATGACTTTTTAATGTATTGGTTATAGATATTAGGTATGCATTTAAAATAACAACAACAACAAAACCTAAATCTTACAACTTAATGTAGATTTAGCAGAAAGATTTTCGCCTAAAAATCTATTAAAGGATCCCAGGATTTTAATGTGGACTTTTAGACCCCACTGTATGCATGTTTATGAAATCATGAGAATATCCAAGGCTGAATATTAAAGGGGTCATATGATGTTGCTAAAAATAACATTATTTTGTGTATTTGGTGTAATGAAATGTGTTTATGCGGTTTAAGGTTAAAAAAACACATTATTTTCCACATACTGTACATTATTGTTTCTCCTTTATGCCCCGCCTTTCTGAAACGCGCCGATTTTTACAAAGCTCATCGGTCTGAAAAGCGAGGTGTGCTCTGATTGGCCAACTATCCAGTGTGATTGGCCGAATACCTCAAGAGTGTGACAGAAATTTTACGCCCCTTACCATATTGTGATGACGTTTCCTGGAGCGACAAGACAAACCCAATAAAACCCATTATAAACGAGCCATTTGTTGCATCCAGTATGGACATAATTACGGATTTTAATGACTTATACTGTCTTTTTACGCGTTGCATCACGCCGCGTAAACATAAAACCATGTCTGCATTTGTGATGGGAGAAATGACAAACAACAAGCGCTACTCTACACTGCTCAAAACTACCGTTTTGAATCATCAGTGGCAAATCTTTAAATATGAAAACGTACCTACAGACTGTGAGTCAGAACAGCCAGCATTGTAGTCTACTCTCCGAGGATCAGGAAACAGTCCTCCATAAAATGTGCTGCAAGTAGTTTCGCTATCGCAACGAAACACACAGCGTCTTCACAACATGGCGGCGGCGGTGGCAGCAACAATAAATTTACGTCTTCTTTCTTTGCGTGAACATTTGGGCGGCATTATGCAAATCTTCCCACATCGTGACGTAGACATGTGGGGGCGTGTTTAAACGAGGCGTTTTAGGAGGGCGTGGATGAGTCTTAACTTTTATAAAGAATATCTCTTTGGGTTTGAGACTTTAGTCTTTGCAACTTTAGGGATCTTATCTATTCACAAACAGCTTGTAACACTCCAAAGAGAAAGGAAAACTTGAAATCGCATCATACGACCCCTTTAAATAAAACTTCACACTTAACCAAAGTTTATATCTTCTTTATGACTTATTTTAGCTTCAGAAGGGTGCACTAAATTACAGTGCAAAGATCATAATTACATGTCTAACCTTTATGAGGCCAGAATAAATGGATGACAGACAAACATTGCCAAGAACATTTCCATGCTGTGCTGGCGGACATGTGCAGAACAGAACTCCCACACTTCCTCATTTACATATATACTCCATAAACGAATGATCAAGAGTTAAAACAAAACTAAATTTAAGATTAGATCTGCCACATTTTAGAACATTATCCGGAGGAGGTTATTGTGTTAAGTGTAGCAGTATTGTCATCTAGTAGTTTGTCAAACCCTGGTTAGCTGATAACAGGCAACATTATGTAAACTCAGCCTCAATTACGCCTCAAACGAAACCATATCCATATGCAGGGGTGAGCTCTGCACCATCGTCGATAGATGGGACGGTCCTGGAATTCCCCTATGTAATGCCACGTCTTAGGGGAAGATGTGTAACACAGATTTGCCTTGATATTTAACCTTAAAGCTGTTCACAGCTAAATAATACAACTGTATTTGTGTCATTTGTAGTGTGTGCAACCATAACAGAACACTGATGTAATCTCACTTCCTGTATTACAGGCTGTATTGGGCCAAATGAGCTTGGCTTCATTTGCTTTTTGGAGACTTCAACTGTAGGTAGTAGGCTTCAACTGTCATCAATATGTGACGATCATAACAGAATGTTTTGTGACATAAGCCATTGTCCAAATGCTGGCGTAAAGAAATGAAATACAATTTGACAGAAATGAAATAATAAAATCACTACAGATATTTCAGACCACTTTAAAATGTGTTCAGAGAACAGTGAATGCTGATTATTAATCTATTAATTTAATCTATGAATCTATTAATTTAATGTTCTCAAGGATTATGCACAAATCTTCATGTCTACATACAGTGCACATTTTTTCAATTAACATCTATTATAATAAAAACTAACAGATGTAATATTTCCTGTTTTCATGCCCTAGATTTTATTTGAATTTGTCATTTGTCAAAGTCAAACCCTTTAAAAGTTTACATTAGCAATGCACTGATATTAAAATTGTGGCTGATACTGAAGCAAATATTTATTTTCATGTACTGGCCGATAACCAATAAATGGCCAGTATTACAATTCTATCATTTTAATATTATTTCAAAATAAATTAAAAATTGAACACAAAAAAACTAAAATAAATAATTAAAAATGCTACAAGTGATTTTAGGCATTGTAGCATTATAATGTGCAGTATGATTTTTTTTTTACCTAGAACTAGGGAATTAATTCAGAAAACGTGTCCATTAATTACTAAATTGTACAAATTCTTAAAGGGATAGTTCACCCAAAAATGAAAACACTGTCATTAATTATTCACCCTCATGTCATTACAAACGTTCCTTAAGATCATCGTTCATCTTCAGAACACAAATTAAGATATTTTTTGACGAAATCCGAGTGCTTTCCATGAAACCAGATTACTGTGGATGAAGCTACACCCACAGCCAACTATGCAGACAGTGTCTAGCAAAATACTGTGTGTGCAATCATAAACACAAGCTCGAGAGGTACAGTCTTTAACAATCAATTCATAATATATGCAAAAAAAATCAGCCCAGGAAACTTCTAAAAATATGTCCTGCAGTGCACAGAGCTCACTTAAAGTGCAAAGCAATATAGGTGTCTAATGACTTTCCAGGCGATTTGCAAGCTTTGGAGCTGTTCCTGGAGTATACCAGCAAAATCTCAGGCTGCACGGACTTACTCTCCCAGACGGGGTGTTTATTAAACCGTCTCAGCACAGCATCGTGCTGAAACGAGACAGTTCCCATGATGATAATTTATCATCGCCCTCCCCATGTAGGAAAATACAGCAACAGCTTTATGAGGACAAATGAGAAGTCAGAGTGATCCCTACTTTCCCATTTATTCAATTTCCTGACCTCTAAAGTCACCCAGCTCTCTTCTCCAGCTGGGGTTCATTCTCCCCACATTGTACTCAGGCTTTGTCCATTCATAGCTGCAGAATTACTCACCATGGCTGTATCTGAGCTTTTAAGATGTAATTCATGCACAGATCACTTGTAAACTGTCTTTTTGGGTCTGTAATTAACACTGGGATGTTTCTTGTTGTCTCTTACCGAACCATGTGATTTTCTGGGTTCAGGCCGGAGCCCTGGAACTGAATGTATATTGGCAGTCTCATCTCTGCCAGTAGAGGGATTTGATGAGAAAGGTCTGTCTGCTGTTGAGCCAGCTGAGGACGACAAAGGGCTCTGTAGGGTGAATAGAGGCAAACAAGATGTCAATAAAACACATTACTTTCAGTGTGGAAATGCATTTTTAATGGCATGAAATGCATTCTCTGTGCCAATAGCATCACAAAAATCAATTGCAAAAAAAAACAAAAACATCCTAAACACTGACATCACTGGTTTAGCCAATATTGCTGTGCCCAGAGCCACATTTTTCAGGCAAAATGTTGTACTAACAGTTGTATTTGGATTATATTTGGATTGGAGTTTTGTTTAGTCACCCTTTTAAGTTTTTGTCATTAATTTTAGTCAATTTTATTCAAACTTAAATGCCATCTAATTTAAGAACAAAAATTTAAGTTTTTCAATTTTGCACAAGTGCAAAATTAAACCAAACGTTCAAACATTTTATATAGCTCTAATATTATTGATCATGATTGACATTTGAATGACCATATGACCATTTAAAAATCAAATTCTTCTTCGATTTTTTTTCTTCAAAAACATTGATAGTGCATTGTTAATAACTTGGTGTTTTATCTTTTAATTATGTTTTAATTAAAACAATTTAATTGTTATTTAATCTTTTCATTGATGATTCTTTGATGATTCTTATTACTAATGACTATTTTCAGCAGTAATTTTACCAGGTTAGGACTTAAAAAAAAGACATAGCCCTGAAAAAGATCTTTTTGTATAACTGCTTTCAAGTACACAAAGTCATCAACCCTACCTCAGTGCTACTTTCTGTCTTAAGAAAGCCACGTTCTTTCACAGATTCACACATATGCTGATGAAGAGCACAGTGATCCTTGGCAGCATTTGCATCTCCCATTATGAAGGTCATCTGTCTCAGCTCTCCCTGTGAGAACAGACACCGACGTCATAGACAAATCTGAGCTAGGACATCAACCACATAATCCATTAGATGAGCACTGATTTCACAAGAGTGTTGGTCAAACGTTCACTCATATGCCTCATCGATTTGGGATGAATAGCAATCTTGATACCACAGTCACATGATAAAACCCCATGTATATAGGCATTCAGTGCCATTGAAACTCTTGGCATACTGTTTTGTGACCATTCATTTTTAAGTACAAGTCACTAAGATGATGGTTTTCACAGCTGAAATGCAAATTGGTGTGGCAGCCATACATATGTTTCCCATGACACATTGCCAGTGCTTCTTTACCTGGTTAGCTCTAGTTTCTTTAATAAACATTCTTCTACACCACTGTGTTGCAGTAAGACATATTTAGAGTGTTTAATTAATGACTTTAGGAAAGGCTGGTTGCCCAGGCATGATGGATTCTTGACACTGACTATAGTTATGTGTCTTTCCATACCCTCCATGCATATAACAAATGAAGAATACCTCAAAGGGTGTCTCAAAGCCCTCCAGGATTCCTCCCACCATCAGCAGGCCATCTGTAGTGATGCCCATGTACGGGTACATCCAGCTCACTTTCTCCACCAGCACACAGTCCACATACACAGCCAGCCATTCAAATGCAACCCCAACTGAGATCCAGTGCCACTGCGGGTCAGACAGCCCTGACACTGAAAACCTGAAGCCAGAGTTTCAAATACACTATTATAAGAATACCGTTATTTCAACATTGGTAAACCTTAGTGCTCAGTGTCATGTGTTAAATGGTGTTTGTACTCATAGTCACGCTGCTGTGTGGTGATGAAGGTGATGCTGTGTGGGCCTATACGGATCTGGAGTAAAATGTGATTATAGAAGTTCAGCAAAGTCAACACACTCCGGTCCTCTTCTTGTGAGCTCCGCAGTTGAATCAGAAGACTAAATTCATCTGCAAAGCTGTAAACACACACAGACACTTTGTTAAGTATCAAAGAAATTATTTCATTAGAAATGAGAGAACGTAAATACATACTCTACCATTTAAAACTACTGTCTAATGCGCACCAAGGCTGGATAAATGTGATTGAAAATACAATAAAAATAGAAAAAATTTGAAAAATTATTACAAATTAAAATATTTGTTTTCTATTACATATTTTAAAATGTCAGGTATTTGTGTGTGATGACAAAGCAGAATTTTCAGCAGCCATTACTCCAGTCTTCAGAGTCTCAGCATGATCCTTCAGAAATCAATCTATTATACTGATTTGCTCAAGAAACATTTCTTATTATCACAGTTGAAAATATTTTGCTGGTTAATAGCACATGTGACAGTTTTTGAGGGGATGAACAGAATTTTTAAATGAACAGTATTAATTTAAAAAGAATTTTTTTGTCACAACGTAAAACATTTGATAAATAAATAAATAAATATATATATATATATATATATATATATAGTATGTGTTGAACCCCTCTGTAAAGAATAAAAAAACTATTTATCAATACAGCAAGTGACCTGCACAGAATCAAGTCACTTAAATCAAGTGACACTTCATTAATGCTTTTTATGATACTGCATTTATTAGTGAAAAAAATATATTACGGAAGAATAGTGGGACATTGAGATGTTGCATCATCCCTTTATTCACCTTCGGACTTGTTTCAGCCTATTGTGTGAAAATGGGCAAGTCTCAAACTGTCCAAATCTCCAGGGCTAATGCAAAGTAGCTTTCCCTTTCCAAGTACTATCCACAGATGACTCTACCCTATTGTGCACAAACACAGTCAGGACCATTACTGATGGATGGTTCTGGGGTGAAGCATTCCCATGAACGGCTGCATTTTCCCCCACCTGATCCCCATAGGACATCAAGGGTGGAGAGAACAAGCTGTTGATTAACTTCCCATCCCTTACCTGCACAACATGGCCAAGTACCCTAAACCCTACAAGACTCCCCTTCTTCATTTTCCCCTTCCCTTTCAAGTACATCTAAAAATGAAAGATCATTCTTCCGACCCCCAAAAAATAAGTTTTAAATGTACAGATAAAAAAAACCCACATCAACTATTAAAGAAACATGGTAATTTTATGATGCAATCTTTAAATTTTCATTGGACGTCAGCCTCACAGTTGTTCCTGCTATTCAAGGAGACGAAAAGAAATAAAGGAAGAATAAAAAAAATAAATGACACAGCTCATTTACAGGGATGTTGAAAAAAGAAGAATAGCTCTGTATATTTAACCTCTACATAAACCCAAATCCCCAATAGCCATATATGGCAAAGCAAAGCACTGTACGATTTGTTCTTCACAAGACATGATACATAGACCTTACAACCGGATTAGAGATTTGAGTTAAGAGTATTTATTTAAGAGATTGAAAAGGGCTTTTTACGCTCCCTGCATTCAGGCATCAGTCGTCACTCATAGTCCTGCAAGCAGCATGACCACAAGCAGCAGACTCCGGTCACACATGAGCTCTCGCTGATAACCTGATGAAAGTTGCACATGCCACCATTTTCTACATACCACATGCACACTAAGCTAGAATACATGTCTTAAAAGATGTAAAAGTGGAACTGCATTAGATAAAATATCAAATAAACTGACCTGTACATTTTAAACTGACCTGTACAGCATGTGCATTTTACAGAAAGACAGCACAAGCACACTTTTGACACAAAAGCAAGCAACACATTTTACAAAAAAAATTGTTACATTTAAAATGACCAAACAATAGATATATAATTCAACCTTAAGACAAAAAGCATTTGGACGCTGGTTCTCAAATGTTGGCGGAATATAGTAAATATGATGAGCTACACCTGCGTAAACTGACTTCATGCACATTCAATAAAATAACCTGGGTAAATGATAGTAAATGACTCGGAAAAGTGAGTTAGTTCTGAGAAAAGGTCTTGCATAGTTTGTTTGGAGATGCAGATTTTGATATACTTTCATTTGCAAAGAAATTCTGATATTTTTAAGTGTGCCTCAAATGTCCAAACTGTATAATCACAGGGACACAGAATGTTTAATGCCACACAAAAGCTGAATAAATGCAATTACACATGAATGTAGGCAGAACTGATGCTATGAAATCGATTTTTAAAATATTACAATATAGAAACATAAATGGGAGAATTTCATAGCAGTCATATCACCCTGTAGCCCAAGACTGGTTGCCCACTGAAGCCAAGCAGGGATGAGACTGGTCAGTACCTGGATGGGAGACCTCCTGGGAAAACTAGGTTGCTGCTGGAAGGTGTTAGTGAGGCCAGCAGGGGGTGCTCACCCTGTGGTCTGTGTGGGTCCTAGTGCCCCAGTATAGTCATGGGGACACTATACTTCGGATGAGACGTTAAACCGAGGTCCTGACTCTCTGTGGTCATTAAAAATCCCAGGATGTCCTTCGAAAAAGAGTAGGGGTGTAACCACGGCATCCTGGCCAAATTCGTCCATTGGCCTCTGACCACCATCATGGCCTCCTAATCATCCCCGTATCTGCTGATTGGCTTCATCACTCCGTCTCCTCTCCACCAGCAAGCTGGTGTGTGGTGGGCGTTCTGGTGCACTATGGCTGCCGTCGCATCATCCAGGTGGATGCTACACACTGGTGGTGGATGATCCCCCCTCACATTGTAAAGCGCTTTGAGTGTCTAGAAAAGTGCTATATAAATGCAACGAATTATATTATTTCATAATAGTGTCAAAGACACCGCCTTTACAATTTAAATACCATGTTACTTAAATGGTAATCAAACTGTAAAATGGTACATTATCAAAGTATGAATTAATCTGATTATGAATCAGGGTATCGCAACGAATCAATAATATAGTGTGTGTGCGTGTGTGAAGCCTGCAAGCTGTGAGGACAGCTGTTTGGTATCATAACTAACTAGTATATTAATTTCCACATATACAGAGTAAAATATGAATCAATAGTACTGATATGATGAAAAAGTGTAGTTTACAAGTTAATTAAAAAGTAAAATTATATGTGAACACTGATAAACAAAATTAATTACAAAGTTTCGCAGTGCTTCAAAGGGGTATGTGCAATGCCCCATAACATACAGACCACATGGCTGTAAGAAGATTTTAAACAGCTCAATATGATGCCTAGAGTGGAGCCAGATCAGAAGAGTGCATCACCGTCAAAGAAAATGGAGTGACTTCAGCAGGTTAAAAAGGGGAGGAATGATCTAACACCTTGAGACCATGTGCAAAACTGACATTCTCTTTCCCACCTTGGCTTGTGGTCATTGTGTTTTGCAAGTATTCATTGCCCGCATGCTGATCTATAACCAACTCACCCCAAACCATGTCCCAACTTTGAGAATGTTTAGAAAAGCCACAAAATGATCTAAGATCAAGTCTGTGAAGGGTCAGTGGGTACTCATGCCTCCTCCTAGAGCACAGCTGAACAAGCATTGAGATGACACAGACATTAATATACATGTACAGTGCATATCATAATAACACAAAGGATGAAATGTGACATTTGTGGGACATGCCTTTTCGTGATATTTTTGTAAAGATATAAATATAATTTTATGACCATTTGTACAATCACTGTATTACAGTTTTCAGCTCAAATTTCTTACATATGCTCTGCTAGTTAAAATCCCATAAAATGATTAAATGCAACATAGATGCAAACATTTAGATTTCACAAATTACATGGATATTATTCAGCAAGAAGATGCTAAAATGTTTCCTTTGAGACTCTTTACTGATTTCAAGTATAATAAAAAGTCCCAGAATTTGCATAAGTGACAAACACACACTAAAAACAACATGAAGTCTGAATAACTCTTATATTTCACATTATTTGACAACAAAAACATTTACTGCATGAGGCAGCAAAATGTCACTTTCATATGGCCAGCTGAAATAACTGTAGTTGCATTAAAGTTCAATAAATATATAAAGCTGCACTATTTTACCATTCTTTTCCTTCCTTCTCCAATTACCTGCCTGTAGTTTCTACAGGAACTGGATGTTGGATGCCAGTATGTAATTTCCAAAAGTCCATTCATCTAGCATGCAGTCAGATTCAGGTCTGATGTTTGGCTACATTTATTTCCCATTTAATGCCCAATTAGCCCCCCTTGTGCCGGTTTGTGTTTCATTTACATGGACGGTTCGTTTAACAAAAGTCTTGAGGTAGCAATTATGGAATAAAGAGGGATGAGACTCCATTTCCTAAGCTGTTTCCTTTCTTCCAATTGTGCTGTGAAGTGTAATCAGAGAAGGACTGATGGTACTTATCTCTTTCACTACGAGACTAAAGATGGGACACCACCTGACACCCAAACTGAAGGAAAGGAATAAAAGTAAACGATTTCACTAGTGGGGATTTCTTTAGAAAAGGCCTCTGTGCGTATAATTTGAAGCCATTGTGAAATCTGTGTAGGGAAATCTTTTGCCATCATGCAAAATTACAGATCGCATAGATTCCTATTGAAATGACATGAAAATTTACAGTACAACGGTAAATGTAACTCCAACTTAACTCACAGTAGTAGGTAAAAAATAAAGAAGCTTTTCACAGAGAAGCATTCTGTCGCCTTCACCTAAATCCTAACCTCTTATAGCTCTTTTCATTTCCCTCTTTAAGGTGGAATAATATTTAAATATGACAGAGTGACCTTGGGTAATCAAAATCCACAAGAATGCCTTAATTGAGAAAAAGTTCAAGAAAAGAAAATTAGCAAATCAACAGCAGGAACTTTCAAAAACATGACCTGACCCCCATAATATTTAAAGGGGTCTGGTTATGTGGCATGTGGCAGAGAAAGAGTGAGGAAGACTCATTAAAGCCTGTGAAACATTGTTCCCTAAACACACCTGAGCTCTGTCCTGTTAAGCCAAGAAGGAAACACGTTGAGGAATAAGGAACGGCTCCATGATCAACATTCACAGAGTTTCAGGATGTTTTGAAAGACATTCAATCTTTCTTTTTTCCATCCTGGTCTATGTGCTGATAACATTTATAGTCCTCTGGGGCACCTAAATCAGAGCGATGTTTTTGCCTCAGTTTTCTAATTACTAACAGCATCACTCAGTTCGTCTGTGGCGGGGGGGTTTTTCAACCATGGGCACTAGCATGGCAGACTTTTAGAAAATAAACGCTCTCAAAACTCTAACTTGATCAACAAATGTCAGTTCCTCCTTATGTTTAATAGCTTTTATGTCACAGCAATAACTTTTTAAACATTAAAACCGGAAAACAGTGGAACAGTCACAATTTGTGTTAAAACTGGTATTAAATAATAAATTCAGTTCGTTTTGCTAAATAATAACTTACATGTTACTTAAGATCTGTTTCCTGTGAATCTCATTGTCAGATTTGCAATGACAGTTTGAGTAAGAATTAAGAACTAGAATAATGTAGAAAAATATGAGCAATTTCCAAAAACGGTTATGTCGGAGCTCTAAGGGTGCAACGAGTATTTTCACAGGTGGCATTACATACACAGACAGTTTGCTTTTGTGAATAATGACAGCAATTTTAGGAGTTCACCTTTCAGTTTTTCCAAACAATAATTTATTTCTGAACTATTAATTAATCAAGCTGTCAAACATGTCATGAAATCTATACCTACTTTGATGGCAGCACTCACAATTCATGAGTTCATGTTTCCATGTTCTCACATGAGAAAATGTTGGTCAAACATGAAAAACTATTGGCTTCATATAAAATGGTGAGACTCTGCATATTTTAAGAATCAAAGTCAATGAAAACCGATAAAGATATGTTAATGATATTTTATAGCTAATCAAGTGGAACAATATCTTTTATGGATCAAATGCTGAATACAAGATAAACTGGTTATAGCGATGGTTAGAAAATCTAGCATGACTAAAATCGCTCTAGCTTCTTTCACAAAATCCTCTGGGATTCATGTCAGAACACATA